TCTCTTGATGGCTTTGGACCAAAGTTTTTAGAACATCATGCTAGTTGCTCTAGAAGATGAGGTGTAGACGAGTGTCCTTTGCCAGTAACTCCAAGAATAGATGTGGATGCTTCAACGGACACTCAATAAATGGAGTGTGTGGAGGTATTATCAGGTATTCAAATGGCACATGGATCGATGATAAATGATAATTTTATATATTTTTATCTTTTTAATTTAGACTTTTAAATATTTATTTGAGGCTAATTTAGTTTAATTAGATATTATTTAATTTATTAGCTAATATTTAGTTTTAAGATTTTAACTAACTAAATCTTTGATTTTAAAATATGAATAATATTTTTAATATTTTTGCACAGGTGCTATTTAATTTTATTTTATTTGTCCAGATTTTCTAGATTCAATTTGAAAGATATTGATAGAGAATATTTTGGATAAGAAGAATATGGGCATGTTTGGAGATCAAATTAAGAATTAAATTTTAGAATTTTTGTTTATATTTATCTTGGATATTTTAGTGTAGTTTTCATTTACAGTTATTTAGGATAGTTTTATTTTTTATTAAATTATTAAGTTTTAACTTGGAAGAGGCGTACAACACATACCACTTGACTTCCAATATAAAGGCAAAAGCAACAGATGAATTGGATATATCAGGATGGAGGCATCACATAAAAAAACAGCGTAACAGCGACCGCGGTTCACTTTTTCTTCAATTTTTCCAGCAATGGCTTGTCAATTTCTCATTTCATATTTTTTAATTTTTAGTTCTATGAATAACTAATTTTTTTGGTGTGATCAATCACAACTATGATCTTAAATTTTAATTAGAGTCTAATATTTAAAGAATATTTTATTTTAGCTTTATTTAAATTTACTCTTCTTCTCGCTACTTCTGAATTTTATGCTTTAACTACTATTGCTGATTAGAGTAGCTTTATTGCATAATTTTTGGATTATTAATTTTATCTGAAGTTTTGCTTGTTATAATTGATTGATATAATAACATAAGAGTAATTTGGCCTAACTTGGGTGATTATTCATGCTTTATTTCTGATGTGGCTAACTTAGAATAATTGTTAGGTTGTGGGTTGAGGAAAATTTTAATTAATCTATAACTTAATTTCTTGTTTAATTCTTGAATGATAATTTGAGAAATATATAATAAAATTAAAATAATAAAGTTAAATAAAATTAATTTAATTCATAGACGAGGAAGATTAAATTTAGGTAATTGAATTGTAATTAATTGCGCTGCTTGTTCTTGATAATTTCTTTAGTTGAATTTTCTTTATTTATCTATTTTTTTTAATTAATTTTATTATAAAACCCCCCACTTTTTAGCTTTTCATAATTATAATTTAAATAGTTATTTTATTGATTCTTAGGGGACAATTTAGATTGTGCTTTACTGTAAAATTTAATTTTTATTAATTTTAATATTATTCGATAGTAGTGTCATTCGATTCTGAGTTTCAAACAGAATTGGGCCTCACATTGGGCAATGAAACTGAACTCTTGATTAGCTATCAAGATATGGGCCTTCAAATATCTATCGGTAAAAAATTATATCACAAGGATTGACTTGTTCATGAATTCAGAATTTGCCTGAAGCTGTTAATTAAATTTTCGAAGATGGTACCCATGATCACCCGTCATGGGACAACATTATTTATGATATAATAAGATCCAAACTGACTGAGAATTGGAGCATCAAGTTGCACCATGCATCTAGGCAGTTGATGAAATTAAATGTGCTGATAAGCTATATAGTGAAGAAAGTTATATCACTACGGAGAATCAGTTCCGCTTGTTTACTTTTATTGATCCGGTTTGTGCAGATCAATATGAAGTTGGTTGTTTTGGTATTTAGTTTTTTTTTTTTTCAAGCTCTGCTTGCCATGTCTCCAAGAGAAAAAAAAAAAGAAATCTCATTGAGCTAAAATCTAGATGAATTTTTTTTTTAATGGTAGACGAGAGGAAATTGATCTGCGTTACAAAGAATTTAGATGGCCGATTTATGATAAATTAAAGAAATATCCATTATTTTTGGCCATGAATAAGTGTCCGATAATGGTCAACCAAAAAAAAAACTACATATCTCTTCTATTAATTAGCTATAGACATGTAGTACATCCCGTGAAGTGTACGGAGACATCTAACATTAAAAAAAAAAACATAAAAGTAGAACGGCACCGGATCCACATATCTCAATATAATTGAAATCTGTTACTAGTATGCAAGCTATAATCTCACTTGCAAGCACATAGTAGCCATCATTTTGTCCATTTATATACGCAGGGATGTACAATTAATATTCATATTTTTGGGCCCCATAATTACAACATAAGACTCCAATTTGATAAATTTTAGCAGATTTCGTATTGAGAACTATATGAACCAACCGCATCAATTATAATTATATTGAGATTTCACCACTGCAAATCCAAACCTTCAACAGGCCGAGGTATACCCACCAACCGTTGGAGAATAAAATGGTGAATATGCCTTGCTTCTTTCGTAATCAATAACTAGAAACAAAATAGCTTTTGTAAGTATGGGGATTAAATATTGATAGCTAGAATATTGCCCATATTGGTGGTTAGCAGACTGAAGCATACAGAGTACACAATTCTGATTCAGAAGCTAATAATCACAATGATCAGTTCTGCCCAAAAAGAAAAGGGGAGCTAATCATTATAACTAATTGTCTATTAGTGAAGTGTAATATGAAGAATCATCCATTCAGAAGCTAACTTGATCAGCGCTGTGGCTTTTACATTTATATATATATATACATATATGTATATATATATAACAAGGGAAGATTATGGGAAGTTGCAGTTTCAGGATTTAGAGACGAGAACCTCAAAAATGGAAGTGACGACAGAGTGGTTAGGTGTTATTCTGGGAGGTCTGCCAATGTTAGGGTTGGTGTTATGGTGGTGGAATGAACTTTGGCACCTTGTTATTCGTCACAGAGACACTAAGAGCTCGCCACCTAGACACTTGGGCCTCCCTTTCATCCGCGACACCATCACCTTCCTCTGGTTCCAAGTTCCTCCGACGGCCCGGCGACTACATCAAATCTACGCGACGCAAGTGCGTTCATTTCTGCTTCTTCTCTCACAAGTACTCTTCACACAACAAATACTTTTACTCATAAAAGCAAAAACATCTTGTGATTTGTCAAAGATATGGGAAAGGAGAAGGTCTGTTTAGAACTCGTCTGTTTGGGACACCCTCAATCATGGCATGCGCGACATCAGTGAGCAAATATGTATTCCAATCAGATGACAAGTTCATCTTAAAATGGCCCGCTGCCGCCCTCTTGGGCCCCACATCTCTGGTGGCGGTTCAAGGCGAGGAGTATGCCACTCCTTCGTCATCAACACGATCAATCGCCCCGACGCTCTCCGCCGCATCGCTCTTCTTGTCCAACCTCACATCATCCCCCCTCTCAAGTCCTGGGCTCACAGGGGTCGTATCAATGCCCATCTCGAAACAAGAAAGGTGAATTTACTAGTACTTGAAAAATTTGCCAAACCATGTTAAAGCAATCAGGTTAACAAAGCCCACTAGATTACCCTTACATAACCGGTCCACTAACATATTTGGGCCTCATAGTTATTCTTTATGTAAATTGCTTTGGTTTTCTATTCTTTGTATTCATTATGTACGTGGCAGTATTGTAAGTCTCCTAAGGTTGCGTATTATAGCTATATAAGGAAATACATCCATTTGGCTTATTAATCCACCATTATAATATTCTATTCCCTTTTTTATCAACTAATAAAATGAGGAAGTAATAAATGGTTGAATCATGCAGGTGACACTTGAGAATATAGGGAAGTTTTTTGGGAGCTTTGAGCCCGTGATCTGCTTGACACCAAAGATGGGCTGTTCAAGGGTTTGGTTTAAGGGTGTTCAGTTTGGACTAGTCCCAATTGATTTGGTATCCTCCCAATCATATCGAAACAGGTCTTATCTTGGCTCGAAAATAATTGAAACAAAACTTTATAGGATGGAACAAGAAAAGAGCTTGGGATGGGACAAAACATGAGATTACCATTAGGACGTCCTGTCCCGTCTCGAATATTATATATATTATTTTTTATTTTAAATATATTAATTATATTAATATAATTTATACTTATATTAATTATATCAATTAGAATTTTAATACTTACAATTCTTATTTAAAATTAAATTTTTTATATTGATAATTTTAATGACATGAAGTAAACATAATGATTTCTTTCTTTATAATATATTAATTATATTAATATAATTTATTCTTATATCTATCTATTTAATAACTTTTATTTATAATGTATTTCTTGCTTTATTTTTAGAAGAATAATTAGCTCAATACATCTCCACTAAAGTAGAAGAACAATGATTTGATGTTGTGCTTAACTTGCCTATTGTTGCTACTTTTATAACATAAAAATTACTTATATTTGCTATTATAATGTGTAGTTATGATTAATATAATTCAATAATTGATTTTAAATTATTGTGATTTATGTACTTGTATTGTTTTGATTTTAAACTTAATAAATTATATGATTTAAAATTTTAGTGAACGTTATTATTCAAAACTTTCTTCGATATTATCTCATTTATCGGAACGGCAGGACGTCCCAATTTTGTTCCAATTTCGTCTCGACTCTTAACAGGATAGGACGACTTTCAAGACAGGATGAGATATAAGACCAAAATTCAGTCCTGATTTTTTTCTCAATATGGGACACAGGATGGGAGTATCCTGGTCCCGTCTCGTACTGTAAACACCCCTAATTTGGTCAACGGGGTGAACCTGCTGGACCTTCCCGGAACTGCATATCGCCATGGATTGAAGTGCAGGAAGAAGCTTGAGGAGATGTTTAGGCTGGAATTGGAGGACGGGAAGAAGAGAAATGACGAGGAAACTGTTTGATCTAATGGACGGGCTGATGCAGATCAAGGATGATGAAGAGAACAGCCTAAGTGACACAGAAATTTTGGACAACATTATTGTGAGCTTAGTTGTTGCTGGATATACGTCCACTGCTTTGGTCTTCATGTGGGCTATTTACTTCCTTGCCAAGTTCCCCAGAGTCCTTCACAAGCTAAGGGTATGTATACTTACTGAATAACTAGTGTTCCCTGATTCATTATATATGCGCACACGAGCGTTCACATCAAACAGTTGAGAAATCTTCTGATAAATAATATGTACATGCTCTTTATTTGCAATTGCAGGAAGATAACATGGCTTTAACAACGACCAAAGCTGGGGATTTCATCACAACTGAAGAGATCTCAAAGTTGAAATACATGAACGTGGCATATTACATTTTATTAACACATATATTAATCAATTATGTTCATCGATCAACAATATGAAACATATAATGAAATTAGTGAATTTAGTTATTTACAAGGAGAATATGTGGAATGTGAAAGCGTTAGTGATTATGTCTTTGGAATATTCTGATATACTTTAACAGGTCATAGAAGAAACAGTAAGAGTGGGAAACGTTGCATTATTGGCTTTCAGAAGGATTATCAAGGAAGTTGAATACAAAGGCGCTTGCAATTTACAGGTTTTGACTTTTGAGGAATGCATTAAGTAATAAAGACGCCAAGAGCAATATTCGCGTCCATAGCTACACACACACACTCACACACAAGTGTGCGTGCTGTCACGGCCTTGGAACTCCCTTCCCTTGAACCGTGCCGACCTTAGCTTGATCCCTCTCTTGATCTTTGCTAAGTCAGCCGAATCCCATGAGTAGGCAAAGAGGCTAAGAGAACTAGATGCGCAAGTAGAGAGTAGAGAGCTTGAGTGAAGGAACTTTAAGAGCTTTTACACTAAGCTTGAGTGAGTTACAAATGAAGGATGAGGGGGTATTTATAGGCCTCCCCCTTTCTCCAGAAAATTCTCACCTCCTTAATGGACGGTTGGGATTGATTCGATCTAACGGTGTACATTCTATCTCTAGATAATTCTATAGAAATATCTACAAGAAATATCTTGATAATTACAAGGAGACTACTAGAATGTACAAGAGCAAGATATCTCTAGAATGGTCTGGATGCTTCAAGTGTTTTCTACACTACTCTAGAGATATCTAGGTCTTTCGAGGACATACCGGTGTATCCCAGAAGACTCCGGGGTGTTCTTGATTGTCCTGGATCGTTCCGGAAACTTCTAGAATATCTTAATCTCATGAAAATTCTATCTTCGTCACATTCTCCCCCACCTATTCGAGTGACGTCCTCGTCACGGCATCATCTCTATAAGATCGAAGTAGTTCTTCAAATTGCCAAAGATCTCTTTGAGATTCCCATGTTGCTTCACTCTCTGGCAATCCCTTCCACTTGATCAAGTATTGTGTGTCTGGTGGCACACCTCTTTTCCGCACAACTCGGTGGCTAAGTATTTCTTCAAGTCCTCGATCATATGCTTTAGTGATGGTCGGTGGGGCACGTGATGATGTTCCTCGCGTCGGGTCATCCTGATCTTCATGATAGGGTTTCAACATGCTAACATGAAAGACAGGATGAATCTTTAAATTAGTAGGGAGATCCAATTTATATGAGACTTTCCCTACCTTCTTGATTACCTTATAAGGACCTTTATATTTGCGGATGAGGCCCTTGTGTACTGATCTGAAGGCTTTGAATTGTTGTGGGAGAAGTTTTACCATTACCATGTCTCCCACTTGGAATTCTATTGCACGCCTCTGTTTGTCTGTAAATTTCTTCATCTTCTTGGCAGCCTTCTCGAGGAATGATCTTGTTTCATCTGCCCGTTCCTACCAAGACTTAGCCATGTTAAAAGCTCCAGGGCTCTTACCTTTATAGGAGATTGCGAGGGCATGTGGGGTGATCGGTTGTTGTCCCATCACAATCTCAAATGGACTCTTCCCTGTCGCCTCGCTTCTTTGTAAGTTGTAAGAGAACTGAGCCACATCAAGCAACTTAGCCCAGTCCTTTTGATTGGTGCTAACAAAGTGCCGCAAATAGCACTCAAGCAAAGCATTCACCCTCTCAGTTTGCCCATCTGTTTGAGGATGAAAGCTAGTTGAGAAGTGTAGCTCTGTCCCCAATAATTTGAATAGTTCTGTCCACAGCTTTCCTGTGAACCTTGGATCTCTGTCACTGATAATAGTTCTAGGAAGGCCCCAATACTTTACCACATTTTTGAAAAACATCCGAGCCGCTTCCTCAGCCGTGCAGTCTGTCGGGGTAGCTATGAAAGTTGCATATTTGGAGAATCGATCTACTACCACCATGATGGATCCAAATCCTTCTGACTTAGGTAATGCTGAGATGAAGTCTAAGGAAACACTTTCCCATGGTTGGCTCGGTGTAGGTAAGGGTTCGAGCAGTCCTCCAGGCAATTGGTTGTCTACCTTGTCTTGTTGGCATACAAGACAAGTCTTCACATAATGTTCCACATCCTCCCTCATGTGAGGCCAATAATAGGCTGCTTCTAACAAAGCCAAAGTTCGCCTCTGACCGGGGTGACCTGCCCATTTAGAGTCGTGACACTCTTTGATCAGCTCCTTCCTTAGGTTTGCCCATTTAGGGACATACATGCGCCTTCCCAGAGTGTAAAGGATGTCATCGTCCACCCAGAATCTCTTAGTCTTCCCCTCTTTTGCTAGTTCCATTAGCTGTAGGGCTATGGGATCCTGGGCCATTCCTTCCTTAACCTTTTCGACCAAGTCCCCATTGACTTGGGTTAAGGTTGCCAGTTCTACTTTTCTACTTAGAGCATCAGCAACAACATTAGCTGCTCCTGGCTTATACTCTAACACATAGTCAAACTCAGCCAAGAAGTCTTGCCATCTTGCTTGCTTTGGCGTCAACTTCTTCTGAGTCTGGAAGTAACTAGTAGCCACATTGTCCGTCTTGATGATAAACTTTGCCCCTAGCAAGTAATGCCTCCAAGTACGCAAGCAATGGACTATGGCCGTCATCTCCTTCTCTTGGACCGTGTATCGCTTCTCGGTATCATTTAGCTTGCGACTTTCAAAGGCAATAGGATGCCTCTCTTGCATTAGGACACCTCCTATAGCAAAGTTAGAGGCATCAGTATGTACCTCAAAGGTTTTGGAGAAGTCAGGAAGTGTCAACACCAGTTCTTCCATGACTGCCACCTTCAAGTCCTCAAAGGCTCGTTGGCACTCCTCCGTCCAAGTCCAATATTTGTTCTTCTTCAACAACTCTATGAGAGGGGCGGCTCTTGCCAAGTAGCCTTTGATAAATTGTCGATAATAGTTTACTAATCCCAGGAAGGACCGCAACTCAGCCACACATGTTGGAGGCTCCCATTCCTTTATAGCTTGTACTTTTTTCTCATCCATCTTGAGGCAGCCATGTGAGATGACATGTCCCAAGAAAGAGACTTCCTCCATAGCAAAAGAGCATTTTTCCTTCTTCACATAAAGCTCATTTTCACGAAGGGTCTTGAACACAATCTGGAGGTGTTCAGCATATTCCTCCAATATGTTGCTATAGACAACAATGTCATCTAAGTACACCACCACGAACCGATCGAGATAAGGATGAAAGATCTTATTCATCAAAGTGCAAAATGTGGCTGGTGCATTGGTTAGTCCAAAAGGCATAACTAACCACTCGAAGGACCCATATCGTGTCACACAGGTGGTCTTGGGTTCATCTCCTTCGGCAATTCGAACTTGATGGTACCCAGACCTTAGATCCAATTTGGAGAAGTACTTTGCCTTTCCCAAGCGATCAAACAAGTCAGCTATCAAAGGAATAGGATATTTATTTTTAATAGTTACCTTGTTGAGAGCCCGGTAGTCGATGCATAGGCACAAGGACCCATCCTGCTTCTTTTGGAATAAGACCGTTGCCCCAAAAGGTGCTTTTGATGGTCGGATGAAACCTACGTTGATCAACTCCTTTAGTTGCTTCCTCAATTCTTCCAACTCAGGTGGTGCCATACGATATGGCGCCATGGCTGGTGCCGAGTTCCTGGTTCCAACTCGATCTCATGATCCACTTCTCTACATGGTGGAAGCTTCTTGGGCAACTCAGCAGGCATAATGTCTTGGTTCTCTACTAGAACACGGGCAATTATGGGAGGGACTTCTTCCTTGACCTTGTCCCCAGGGTCAATCTCCTTCAGTGTTGCCAAGTACGTAGCCTCTCCCTTCTTTATTTCCTTTTTGACTTGTAAGGCCGAGAGTTGGTGTCCACCGCTCACCCTTCTTGCAGTCACAAAGCAAGGGTTTTCCTTCTCGAGTATATAAAGTAAATTATAATAGGGCATGGGGTAAGCGTTTACCTGTCTGAAGAACTTAAGTCCCAGCACGACCTTGAAGTCATCCATAGGAGCTATGGAGAATTCTATCTTACCACTCCAGCTCCCCAAACATAGTTCAACTCCTTGTGCTATGCCACATAGTTGCTTAGGAGGTGAGTTAACTGCCTTCAAACTTCCTCCCTCCTGCACCACCTTGAGGCCTATTCTCTTGGCCTCTTCTGGAGTGATAAAATTATGGGTAGCTCCAGTGTCACACATTATGGTGACAGGTGATCCATTCAACTTCACGTCTACGTACATCAGGCCCTCACCTTTAGGATTCTTTGGCAAGGGTTTGACCTTTAAAGCATTGAGGAGTCGTAGAGATCCCATCTCTGCTTCAGGCTCTTCTTCTTCAGCCTTCTCCATTATGGCTGCCAACGTACCTAGCTTCGGACATTCTCTCATTCGATGAGGGCCTTTGCACACAAAGCATCCCGTCTGTTCCTTGAAGGTCTTCTTCTGTCCTTCAGGTTGTTTCTTCTGTAAGAACCTGCTATCACCCCCTTTGGATATCCCCCTACCCTTGTCTCCCCCACCTTTTCCAAAATTAGGTTTGGAAGACTTGGGTTTAGAGGGCTCACCTTTTTCCTTATGGTACTCTGTGAGACTTTCGGCTACTGTAATTGCCTCATCAACGGTCTTCACGTCACGCCTCTGTAGCTCGTGCTTGGCCCAGTTTTGAAGACCATCGATGAAATAGAAGAGAGCTTCTTCACTACTCAGATTAGGAATCTGAAGTGTTAAAGAAGTGAAGTCTCGTACATAGTCAGAGATAGTGGTCTTATGTTTGAGATCCCTCAATTTCTTCCGTGCCTCGTAGACCACATTCTCTGGATAGAATTGCCTCTTCAGCTCTTTCTTAAAGTCCTCCCAAGTATTGATTGTGCAAAGCCCTTTGTCCATGTCTGCATGTTTCCTTCGCCACCATAGCATGGCATTGTTTGTAAGGAAATAGGCTGCGGTACGTACCTTGGTTTGATCATCAATCATCCCTAAGGTGTCAGCATAACGTTCCATTTGCCATAAGAAGTTCTCAACTTCCTTGGCATCTCGTACCCCCTTGAATTCCTTGGGTTTGGGAAGATCCAACTTGACTTCCCTTACTCCACTATTTCCATCCAATAGTGGGCTTCTTCCTCTTTCTTCTAAGGAAGTCTTTAGAGTGTCGAGCTGTTGTTGCATCATGGTGATGGCATCCTTCACCTTTATTTCTAAGGTCTTCACGGTATCCTCCCGTTGATCATCAGAGTTTTGCAAGGTATCCATACTACTCTTTACCTCATTAAGTTCTTTGAGAGTGTGGTTTTCCAACGTACGTATATCATCCTCAACTTTCGCTACTCTACCCACCATTTCCTCCATTGCTTTATCTAGAGCATCAATTTTTATAGAGAGTATAGTAAGGTCTTCTGAACGTACCTTACTAGAGCCTCGTGTCCTCTTGCCACCTTGGTGTGGAGGTTGGGATTCCCTTCCCCTCTCCTCGTCGTGAGCAAGAGTCTCCTCAGTCACACCAGACATTCTTGCCTACCAGTAGCACTATCGAAACCACGGCTCCCTCGAACCTGGCTCTGATACCACGTTGTCACGGCCTTGGAACTCCCTTCCCTTGAATCGTGCCGGCCTTAGCTTGATCCCTCTCTTGATCTTTGCTAAGTCAGCCGAATCCCACGAGTAGGCAAAGAGGCTAAGAGAACTAGATGCGCAAGTAGAAAGTAGAGAGCTTGAGTGAAGGAACTTTAAGAGCTTTTACACTAAGCTTGAGTGAGTTACAAATGAGGGATGAGGGGGTATTTATAGGCCTCCCCCTTTCTCCAGAAAATTCCCACCTCCTTAATGGACGGTTGGGATTGATTCGATCTAACGGTGTACATTCTATCTCTAGATAATTCTATAGAAATATCTACAAGAAATATCTTGATAATTACAAGGAGACTACTAGAATGTACAAGAGCAAGATATCTCTAAAATGGTCTGGATGCTTCAAGTGTTTTCTACACTACTCTAGAGATATCTAGGTCTTTCGAGGACATACCGATGTATTCCAGAAGACTCCGGGGTGTTCTTGATTGTCCTGGATCGTTCCGAAAACTTCTAGAATATCTTAACCTCATGAAAATTCTATCTTCGTCACAGTGCGCTTAATTGAGTTGGTCAACGACTCTTGTTTTATTTGCAGGTTACAAACTTCCCAAGGGTTGGAAAGTAATTCTCTGGCTTCGCTACCTACACACAGACCCACAAAATTTTGAGGATCCTATGTGCTTTAACCCTGACAGATGGAATGTAGGGTCGCATGCAAATCACAACCTTTCTATCGTAATCGTTATGCTTGATTTCATCGTAACTTTAATTAATTATCATTAATTTGTGGTGAATTTAGGAACCAGCGAAACCAGGAACGTACCAAGTATATTTGGTGGTGGAATGAGAATTTGTGCTGGGAACATGCTTGCAAGACTTCAACTAGCAATTATGCTTCATCATCTGTCTACAGGATACAAGTAAATATATAACCCTGACAATAATATAATTGATTAATAATGAATGGCGTGTTTATTATTAATATTGATGACTTGTGAATATTAATTTCAGGTGGGGACTAGTGAATCCAGAAGCGGCCATGGTTTATCTACCACATAAAAAACCTGTAGATGGGGTTGAGGTTTTCTTCAGTAAATTGTAGGAAAAAGCATTCCCAGTTTCAAGGATTCTCTAGTCTGTATTAATGTGAAGTTACCATCACTAGGGCGTTGATTTCTAGCTACTTCATCATTTTCATTCATGGAGATCCATTGTTGATAAAAAAAAAGAATTAAATCCAGCCAAGTACAGTCACTTTGATCATGATTCACGTGCTCTTCGGTGAGTTTTGGGAGCTCTAACTTATTATCTAGGGTGTATCTACATAAAATATAAATGTTGCGTTTGCATAACTTCGCAAGTGAAAACAAAAAAACTAATATTGATGCGTGCATGTGTTTGAATTTTGTTTGTAATTACCTAGCTAATTTAACCCTTGGCATTGATTCAAAAGTTCTTTGTAGATATATAAAAAAAATGAAATCAATCAGTGTCCGAACAAACCTTGTGAATTGAACTGTAAGATATATACGGACAAAATATTGTCTTAAAGAATTTTTTTGACTTCATTTTTTAAAGAAATTTCTACGATCTAATGTTAATCGCAATATTTTCTATATTTATTTCTAATTGAATAGCTAATTACTAATCAGGAAAACATTTTATTAAAAAATTATTTTTAATTCTCTTTCATATGGATCTATTTAAATCCTCTCGTTAATATTTGCTAAAAAAAATCCTCTCGTTAATAATATTAAATAAGGAAAATAACAATTAAGAGCCACTAGAGGAAGTTAATATTAGTCAAGAAATAGTTGTTGTGAAAACTCAAATGAAAAACAAACTTAAATAGATTATTGTTAATTTAAAATTCGTTTGATTTTCAGTTTAATTTACCAAAAAGATTTTTGAAATATATTTTGGATTCAGATGTTGTTTGGTTTTTAATTTTTTTTAAGAAATCCATTTAAAAAATTATTTTCAAATATAATTAAATGTGCTTTTGGCCAACTTAAAATGATAAAAATTTAAAAAATGAATTTAAAAAACGAAATGTTATTTGACCATAGTTTTTTAATTTAATTTTTTTATTCTTTTATTTAAAAATTAGTTAATTTATTAAAAATATAATTATTATTTAAATAATAATAATTACATATCAAGTTGTTAACATTATAAATTGAATAGATGATCATGATAGTTTTTAAAATTAATGTATAATAAAAATTATAAATCTTTATCATATTTTTTAAAATTACAAATTAAAAAATATAAATAATTAAAAATCAAGATTTCTAGTATTACAGATCAAATTTATGTTACTTAAAATATTTATCATTTTTTAAATATTTTAAATATATTATATTTGTGCAATAAAAATTACAAATCATTATAAATTAATATATTATTATTTTAAATATATTATCATTTTTTAATAATTATACATTTAAAAATATATTTTACTATCATAATTCAAATAATTTTTATTTTGTCAAACTGATTTTTAAAAAAATTTATGTAAACAAAAATTTTGTTAACTGATTTTTAAAAGAATGTATCTAAACATTATAAATTGAATAACTGACTTTTACTAAATTAACTTTTATTAAATGAACTTTAAGTAAATAGATTTTTGATAAATTGAAAATCAAAAACATATTTAGAATAGATTGTTATTAAAACTCAAATGGATACTTATTAATAGAAAACTAACCCAAATTAATAAGTATTTATTTGAGTTTTAACAACAGCAAATGATTTTTAATTAATATAAATTTTTAGCTATCCTTAATTGATATTTTTCTCAATTAAATACGATGAACTCAGTTTATTATTGTTAAAAAAAATTGCTTCGTGAATCTAAACTACCACTATCCGACTTGAATAATTTATTTAAACTTTCTTGATGACTATCCGCGGGTTACTGCCAAGCTGTAAAATGTGAGATAAGGCAAGCGTCGAGAATGTAAGGACATGGCAGACATAATTTGGAAGGAAAAAAAAAATTTAAAAAATAATAATAACACCCAGCCCAACGTGATCAACTAAGTTGTAAAAATATCAGAGATTATATTTAGTAAAAGGAATTAACTACAAATTAAATTTTGAATCGCTATTAAAAAGGTGCCAACATTTAATATTAAACTGTGGCTCAAATAAAAATATTTTTAATAAAAAAATAATATAAACAATAAAAAAATGAGTTGTAAATAATGCTAGTGGCAGACTTAATAGACAAAAATTCGCGGGATTCAAATTTAAGTGCAGATGTTGCAAATATGAACTTGATAAAGAAACAACACTATGGTGTAATAGACCAGGGCGGCCGTTGAAGTTATGCGATCAATATTATCAATTATGCCCCGTGTTTGATGTCCCATGTCTGCCTTCTGATTGGACGTACGATGCAGTATTATTGCACGTGTGCGTATTTTTTTGCCAACTATTCCGTGTGTTTTACCGGTGTTTTGGATCAAAAATTAAATGAGGTTTTTTTTTTTTTCCCAAAGAACAAGAAACTGATATCGTTGAACAAACAAGAGAATCCAAACACAATACAAACAAGTTCAAACAAACAAAATAAAAGAGTAAAAGACTCAGGTGTTGTCAAAAGAAAACATCCTATACTCTAGAAAGTCATTGTCCAGGAGATGAGCCGAAGGAGGTGGGGGTTGAGTAACTCAATCTGAAGAGCACACCTCAATACCAACTACATGTGAGATCCAATTAGTAGCACAATTTAAATTTCGTAGGATCCACTTGAAGTTATAAGAACTTAGTGATTGCCTATGATTCAGAATATTATTCACAGCGATCGAGCATTCCCATTCAGGATATAAAGCAGTATCTTTCACAGCTTTAACCAAAGGGAGACAATTAAATAAGAATAGCACCTTAAACAAACCAACAAGAACACACTGAAAAAGAGCTTCAACTTCACTGTAGAAAGCTGAGACAACAGGGAGAGATCTTGCAACTATATGAACATAGCGTCGAGAGGCCTCCCGTACAGTAAGGCTAAGGCTAGCTTTATTATAAGAAATAAAGGCACCATCACAAAAAGCAAAGAATAAGAAATCAAAGGCCACATTACTGGTAGAATTGGCATTAGCTGCTTCTTGAGCTTTATTATCCACATTAGAGGCCCTTAAATCAGTATTGCACTAGTTATTTGCCACCCAGAAAATATCCATATAGCTATTAGCAAGTTGAATAACTCCACTAGGATCAATAAGTTTTTTATCAAACACAAAACAACACCTATCCTTCCATAGTTGCCAAAGAGTAAAGGCAATCAAAGCTTTTGAAGCATTAGACATCTCCTTGCAAGTCAAAGGAGGGAGTAGCCAGTTATCAATCATAGTAATAGCACCTACTTGAATTATCAAACACAAAAGACTCCCAAACCAAACTAGCTTGGCACTATGATGAAGAAGAAGCATATGTTTTATTGTTTTCACTTATTCACAGCAGACTAAACAAAGTGGGTTAGATGCACATTTTCTTTTCCACAGACTCTCTTGAGTAGGGAGAGCCCCTTTGATAACTTCCATAAGAAATTTTTAATTTTAGTTAGGATTTTCATATGCCAAGCCTCCTTCCAAATTGCACAATCTGTATGCCACGAGTGAGAGGGTCCCTTATGAATGGTAGGTTTTTTATTCTTTTTAGCCCATTGATAGCCCTTCTTTACAGTATACAAACCATTTCTGCTTTTAGACCAAACCACTTTATCACTCCTAATAAAGTTAGGCAAAACAATCTTGAGGATCGCTTTTCTTTCTTCTTGAGTAACAGCAGTAATTATTTTACTCAAATCCTATTGTTTACTAGAAATCAAATCAACAACTAACCATTCCTTTGCCTCTGTATACGGTGCATCCCAATTAAGCCTAAAAGAAGGCATTCCTCGAATCCACAGATCTCTTCAAATCAGAGTTAAGAGCCCATCACCAATGTTAAAACACACCAACTTCTCAAGCAAATCCCTTCCAGTTAATAGGCTTGACTATGCCCAAGATGCTCTCGATCCCTTCTTAGTAGCCAAAAAGTTACACTTTGAAAAATAGATACCCTTCAAAATATGCATTCATAACTTATTAGGTTCTTTCAGCATTCTCCAACCTTGTTTAGCTAACAAGACAATATTAAATAAATGGAAATCATGAAAACCTAATTCACCTCCTCTTTTAAGGATTATCAAATCTTGCCATCGGATCTAATAATTCCTACCTTCTTCACCTTTCTGACCCCACCAAAAGGATGACACAATACCATCCAGCTCTTTACAACTAGTAAGTGGAATAAGAAACAAGACACAGGAAAAATGGGCACAGCACTAGCAATTGATAAAATGAAATGAGGTTGAATCAAGACCAATGAGACTTTTTTGCCTGCTGACATGGCAGTCAACATTTTGACCTATTGGTTCAGCACATAGCGAGTATCCTTCTCAGGCTACGCGAGAAAGTGGTAGAAGAAAAGGAAAAAGGTCCCTTTTTGAATTTCCCGCTCTACAACGGCTATTCGCCCTGGCCCCTGCTGCTTTTTTTCCCTGCCCGGCTTTCAATTATGCTCAGCTTTCGATATCTCTGTCTTTTCTCCCTCTCTCTTCAGATTCAAATTGAAACCGAAATAATAATTATTCTCATATTTTAATCACAATAAAAAAAAAGTTACCCTATTTTGCCTTAACAATTCCATCACAATACTCGTCGTCTCCCTGAGAACTACAGCATCAGTTCATCGCTGTCTCACACCCTGTGAGTTCATTTCGAAGACACAAATGAAAAGGGATACCGTTGCCTTGGTTTTCCTGGTGATTTCCGCCATCATTTTCGACCCTTCCTCTTCCGCTCTCACTCAAGATGGTAAGACCTGTAAAGTTTAGTCCTTTCGCGCATGGTTGCTCATCTAACAGCGTCAACTAAGATTCGAGCATGGCGTCTATTTTCCCCATTGTCTTTTATTTTTGTCGAATATTTGGAGTCTGGGTCAGCTACCCCCAATGTGAGTTTAAAGTTCTCAGCTTTAACTATTTCAATGGTTCCTTTTCTTCATCTGATAGGTCTGGCGTTGTTGGAAATCAAAAGCGCTTTGAATGATACTAGGAATTATCTCAGCAACTGGCAAGATTTTGATGAGTCTCCTTGTACATGGACTGGCATCA